TTCACTGACGTCATTATCCTCCAAGGATGTCACAAATAGTGATGCCTTCATATGCTTCTTGGTATCAATGAGTTTAACATTTACTGTTTCAGCAGACTCTTTTACACTGAATTTAATGGGAGTGGGCTCGTAACACATCTAATACCTGCTCCTATCTGAACACCAAAGTGGTGTTTTGGTAAACAGATGCACCTTGTATGACTGATGGAGATGTCATTTCAAAATGGTAGTGTTTTGTGAAATATGTGCACAGTCACAGGATTTTCACTGTTATCTCTCACTACCTCTCAATATGAAATCCCAGTTATAACGTGAAAGTAGCAGGTGAAGGCTTTTTGGATAGAAGAAGGTAACAGCCTGATGCATAACGTCATGCACTAAAGCCTCTGTAATACAGTGAATTTTTTCCCCAGCTTCAGCTTTCTTCTCCCACAGCTGAAAGAACATCATAATTAGACTCTACCTGAGCCCCCCAAATGTTTGGGGAATAGGATCCATTGTCCAAAGCAAGTTTCCTTTCCTTTATCTCCCTCATTTTCATAGATCTCTGAAGTACTAGTTCCACAGCACTGATGTCTCAGCTCTACCAGGCACTGAAACACTATATACACTAGAGATCTCTGTATTTAAGCAACTTGTAAATCTATAAAGATAAATAGGCTATGATTTTTGCACTCTTCTTTTGTTTATTCCTCACCTCTATTCAAGCTTTTATCCAGTACAAAGTCCACCTCAAAATAATGGATGTCCCAACAACGGAGCTACTCTAATCAGTTTCCTATTGAAGGCTAAATCATTTTAGATTTTCTCTTCAAAGGGACTATTCCAGATGACATTAAGTACAACCCACGTGGCAACCTGTTCGGAAGAGCCAGTCCTGTCATCATCATCCTCAATAGTTTTACTCTCAAGGCAACATCACAGAACTCTCATAACAGCATATATAGAAAAAGAAAGGCAAGTAGAGGAAAACAAGGGATAATAAAACTGACTAGAGTACAGATTTTGCATGGGAAAACAGGAGCTCCAATGCAGCAGATACAAATCATTTCCATGTGTTTTAGGACATGTGATTTTTTGTAGCTTCAAAAAATAGCAGAGACAGTTTACTTTCTGGTACTCCAATGACAACTTCCCTTTCATAATCCAATCATTTTTTAGCTCCATTGTTTGTTCTGGTAACTCAGCTTAAAAAAAACAAGCACTATTGTTCTGTTTTAGAGGGGAAGCTGTATTTTTTTTTTTTTTTTTGCTGACAAATAAAGTGCAACAGTAAACTTTTGCCTTCAATCACACTACTTTCTCCTACAGCTGCAAATTTTGCCTGGGGTTTCATCAGGATAACTGAGGGCAGAGCCTACAAGATGAATGCAGCTAACCTTGCTGGGAGGCAGAACAGGTCCATGGGACACCTGCTCTGAACTAACATTTCAGTTAGGAACATGTAAACATTCCTGGTTAATGACATAACATGCAAGGGCTTTGACTGTGCATGAGGAACATAGCAGCTGATTAAGGTGTTGATTTTGTCAGTCACTGGCTCCCAGGAAAAAAACCTAGCCAAAGTTTCCATTATCTAAAGTAAATGCTAATCAGCTTTTTCAAATACTCAGCAACATGAGTTGAGAGTTGAAGCCCTTAATTACATTGATTTGGGTTTTTTGTATCTGCCTGTCAAGACCTGTCTGATACGAGCTTTTCAATCCACAGTGAAATAAAGCACAGCTGTAGCTACAACAAAAAAAGATAAGACTACAGACCTGTTGTAATTTCCCATCCAGAACAATATGCTTGGCTGGAAGATGCTTAATTGTTTAGCAGTTTTTAAATTGTATTAAAAAAAAAAATAAGTATGGGACACTTACTTTATTTAACTGCAACATTTGCAACATTACTTGGGTGTTCCCAGCTAAGCTGAGCATATACTAACCCACTGGGCTTTGTCTTTCATAGGCTTTCTCCATCCTCAATGGATCAAGACTGGGACCATGACTTCAATCAACAGACCCTGAAATGGCAACAACGAGTTCTCATCACTGGATCCAAGTGTGCTCACCTTGGATACCTCTCTACTGCTACCCTTTCCTTCCTTTCCCTTATACCTTTTCTTAAGTGTTATATGTTTTTACATTGTTGCACTTCTAACCAAAACAAATAAATCTTAAAATTTGCCAAGCACCTTATTCTACCTTACTGTTTTAAAGTTTGCAAGTAAAAGTTTGTTACTGAACTTGCTGTGAATTTTGTTGTTTCTCCCATGCATCACCAAGTGTAACATCAAATAATCTTCCCCTAAACCCGCTCAGCAGACTGGGGCATAACACACATCCTACAAAAATACAAGAACATGTGAAATAATGCACTAAAATACAACAAATTATAGCCACCCTCAAAGCTTATGGTTAAAGTTGGGAATGACAGCATCTCTTGTAAACAGAGGTCTGGGTTTCTCTTAGTCTGCAGCTTTCCTGTGGAAAGCCACAGTGACTCAACCAATGGATACCCAAACTTAGATATGAACAGACCTTGAACTCTTTTCCCTTTAGCTGTTCCCAAGCTGTTTCTAGCAGTTCCTGGTGCTATTTGCCCAGCTCTTCTGTAAGACATGCTTCCATCTCCCTAAGAAACATTCAGGCTTATTTTAAAATAAAAGCATTATAACAGACATACTGAAAAAAAAAAAAAAAAAGGCATTGTAACAGAAATAATAAAAATGTACCGTTTTCTCCCCTTTTCAAAGAAATGTTTTCTTGGCTGGTTTTTTTTTTTTAATGGTAACTAGAAAAAGGCATGCTTTTCTTGACTGTTACCCAGTTATCCTACTGAACATTAAGGAACAATTAGCTAACAAAATTGAGAGTTACTCTTTTGCACTTTCTAATTTAGGAGGAGAAAAACTTCTCAGAATATGGAGTCTAAGAACACAGTTGCATGCATAGAAGCTGGAGAAGCTTTCAAGTAGCCTTAATTTGTAATTCATACCACATTTAATAATCTGCAAATCCAGATTTTTCAGCAAATATCCACATCTGCTATTTTTTTTTTTCCAAGCACATCACTTCACAGCTTACTGTCAAAATTAATCCTTCCTGTCACTTATGACATATTTTATCTAATATACTAATATTTTTCAGGAAAGAACAGCACAATTTTATTGCTTAAAAACAGCATAATTTTACTCCTATATTTCTAAGCTACTGGAACTTAAATTGTAACACAATTAAATACAGAACCAGATGAATTATAAATAACTTCATCTGAATGACTGTAGCAGAAACATCTTCCCTGTTTATCTGTATTTTACAGGATTTGGAGTTTAAAAATTTAAGCTGCCTCCTAATATATCTGGCTGATATGACATTTTCAGCCAGTCTGGTAACCTTTCTGACAGCCCTTGAACAAGTAAAATCAAAGTTAAGCAGCTGAGACGAACAGTTCAAGAAATATATCCGAGAGAGCTAGCAAAAGCTTTTGCTGAGATGCAAATGTTTTATTGGTGCAATTAACATCACTGTTATAGCAGATTTAATTTGTGAAAATCTTTGGAGGAAGCTTCAAATAACTGACATCCTTCCCCTTCAATTAAAATGTGACAGATTGAACTATACACAAACTGAAACACCCTGGCTAGCAGCCTGCTGACTGCTAGAAATATTAGAAACTGAGCCAGGACAGCTTTACAGACTGCCTTTGCACTGGAAGAGAGCCTGAAGGAAAGTAAGTCCAAGGATGCCACATTTGCAACCTCCTCCCCCAGGGCATGTAATGCCTTTATAAATGCATTTTTGTCCTAACAGCCTTACCAGGATTTCACAGGCCTCCAAAGGAGAAGCAGCATGCGGCTTGCAACAGGAGAAGGTTTGAACACAGGTAGGAGTAGGAAGCAAGGTAACACATGCTTGCTGTGGTTTGCTCTTCTCCTGCCAGGGCAGGACAAGGAAAATATCCCCAAGGCCATGGCTTCCAAGTTACCTACCTTCTGCAAACTAGCTCTTGTTGTGTTATTTTACATCTGAATGGGTAGGAAAAAGGTGGCCCTGGAAGTAGCCAGATTGTGTGTCCAGGAGAATGAAAAAAATTGCAGAAGCAACAAAAACTTTCTGGCATTTAAGAGAGGCTGCATGTGAAAGAATGCAAATCCTACCGTTCTGGGCCAATGCTAAAGCCTCTCTTATGCATGCCAAGGAGTACTTCTCTTCCAAAAAAACTCTTGAGTGCAAGTTGTGATCCCCTATTCCACTTCTGAGAGTTAAAAGCTTATTTGGACTACAAGAGAGCTTGTAGTAGCTAATCATAACGCATAATTGCTGAGAGTTTAAGCAAACTCCAGAAATAAGCACAACCATGGTTTCTGACTGATGAGAGATGCAGCCAAAAAAAGGTTCAACAGAATCATGCAGTCTTGCACCAGGTTTTCCCCAGTTATATGGGAGCTTTTTGTTTTGTTTACAAACCACGTGAAATACCTGAGCTTTAACATTTGCAAAACACTTGAAAAGTATTTTGAAATGTTATGACTTTGCTTTCAAGTTGTGCTTAAAGAAAACCCTTCAGAATGCATCACTGGAAGTCCTACTGCTCATCATTTCCTTATTGGTTTATGTACTTTTGTTGTATTTTTTTGTGTCAAATTTAGATTGGGAATCACAAAATGCAAATTAATATTCCAAAATTAATAATGACTTTGTTTCTCAGCCTGTACACATCCTAGATGTAAAACAAAAAAAATTTTACAGTCAGTGCTTCCTTAGATTTTAGGTTCTTTTCTACCTCTATTTACATGTGCAACTGTGGAAAAGTGAGGGAACAGATTCACCTTTTCTATTTAATCATGAAGATGAAAATTCAAAGAAAAAATTGTCAGTCACTGTAAACAACACATTTCTAACAAAAAGTTATATTCCTGACTGACTACTCCATGGACCAATGTCTGGCTATAAAAAAAACCAAAGATTTAGATCTAATTTGGGATCTCTTAAAAATAGGGGTATTAACAAATGGAGAATGATTTTTACTTTATCAACACAGGATGTTTATTCCTGATTAACTTCATGCATCAATGTTAATCTTTAATACATTAAAAATAGCTCTTGCATAAGACAATACTTGTCCATGGTGCCTGAAGGTTAGGTTCCTCAGAACTATTCTGGTGTTTCCAATAAAGGCTTAAAGGATTGTATGTCGATTAGGAACCCTAAACTAGAAGGTTCTACATTGTTGACCTCGAGCCACTGTAAAATGAGACTACATGTAACTTTTAAAATATTTTTTTTTAATAAATAGTATCATCCCAGAGATAGCCTGGATGGCAGGAACTCTTATATTCTGATTCACTGCTCAGAGGACAGGACCAGTGCTTTGGGGACTAGCCTCAGCTCCAGCTAGCCAACAGATCTAGGATGTAGCTTGGATCTTTCCACATTGGGGATCGGGGAGCAGTCAGCAGCCAAACATCTGCTTTCAAAAAGGCAGAAAGCAGCGGGGGAAAAAAATTCTTGCAAGAAAGCAGATCCAATTTCTGAGGAAAAAGGATGTTTTTAAGTATGCCTGGTTTCCAGAGGCAGATTCTGACTCCCTTCTGTAACACATGTCATCAGCTCTGGTGTGACAGAGGTGAGGCCATTCCATGATGCTCTCTGAACAAGAAGGCAGGCTTGCTCTTCAGACTGAGGTGTCTTCTGGGTTGCAGCACGGCTCTGCTCCTGCTCTGGGGGCTCTCTGTCTAATGAAAAACAGCATGAAGGAGGCAGTGTGAACCTGGACCTTATGTCACGGACAGAGTAACGCAGAATCATAAGCTAAAAACCACTCCTGGTCTCTCTCACACTACAAGTACCAACTAAGGAACCTAGTTTATTTTCTGACATCAAGAAACAATCCCAATGGATTTCACCTTGTAAAGACAAATCTGTCACCTACCTTTGATCTGAAAACTAGAACAGTGCAATTTGTGCAGCTTAATTGTGCAAAACAGAGCAATTTTTCTGAACTTGTGTTAGAGCTATATAAAGCTTGCACTGAACAACTAAAATAGACTGGTACTCTGATGGGTACGTGAGGCAATCTCTCATGGAAATTTCCTTCCTGTTGCAACCCTAATTGAAACAATATGCTAGTAAATAACTGCTGAACACTCAACTGCTCCTATCACAGCGCCTGTTTCAAAGCTTTCTGAACCTCATTGGCTCATTGACAGTCTTGGAAAAAAAATTGTGAAACAGTCTTAATGTCTCCTCTCTTTAAATACCACAGTTGGGGTGCGTATATATACATGTATATTAATGTAACAATAAGAGTCATGACAATTCAAGACTCATGACAGTTCCCAGCCACCGCTGTACTCAAAAGGTGAGGATACAGCGCTCCACATCACCAGTTCCAACCTTCTTGAAAAGTTACGAAAACTGAAGGACTACTGTCCATCCAGTCTGTATTCTGTTGTGGGGTTTTGGGGTTTTTTTTATACAGCACTCATTCTTTGCAGCACTATGTCAAAAAGAAGTCATACTCCATGACCCTCTCTCTGCAAGAGTTGTATTTCAGCTTCTGTCTGCATTTTTTGTGTTCACATCTAGTTTGGCTGATTCTTAAAATTCTTTTGAAGTGCAATTTAGCTGGACCTGTAAAGGCACATAATAAACTCGATTTGATAAAAACAGTTGACAACCAAAATCAAGTAAAATTGGCTGTTTCGGTGAAGTATAATTGCTAAATAAAGCACATGGTCCACCCTGAATATGCAGACCCTTTAAAGAGTTATGTATTTTAATAGACCTCTATCCATGTTAGGCCCATTTGTCTCTGCCCACAGCTGGTAAAGAATTTTGATCTTCATATGTCAGCTCATACTTAAAAATAAGATCTGTTTATTTTAAACCTATTAAACAAGTTTGTAATACTGAATGGATACAGAGCACCAAATATGCTTCTGTCTCAAATGTAGTCTGTCCAAGCTGATTGTTTCAAGTTCAGAAATGCCTAAAAGTGATTTAAAACTGCTGCAGTTTCTCTACTCTATTAAAAAAAAAAAAAAAAAAAAAAAAAAAAAAAAAAAAACCAAAAAGCCGAGACCAAGCAGCCATTACCAACAGACAGACCTTGAAACTTCAAAGAGAAATGGAAGTGTGTGTGGACAGATAAACCTGTCTTTAGTAACCTAGGTGTTAATCAATGAAAACCCAAGGAAATCTGAAGAAATGCCCAAAATTTTTTTCAAAATACTCAATATGTGCCTCAAAGGGTATCAGTGAATTTTACATTTACATTTAAGATAAATGGTGAATTTTTAAGAGGTGACAGACTTTTCCTCTCAAACAAAGTCACATCTGCCCTTAATACATGTTAACATTCTAAAAAATATTTGTTGTATATTCAGAGCGATTACTGAAATTTAGGCTATAAAGGCCTGTCCTTTAAATTCAGTAAATGAGTAATCATTTCCCTTCTGAAACTCTACTTGATAAACAGATGCATTTATCAGGAAATACCTTCTCAAAAATGAGATCAGTAACTTTCAACTATGCACAGCCCAGTCTAACCATCGTGTCCGGAATTCAAATGCAGCTGAAAGCATTTTTCACAGATGGTAATAAAAAGGGTAATGCACTCTTTACTACAGAGGCGTGACTGAATTCATTTAAGCTGTGAAATTACTTCTAATGCTATTGGAAGGCCTTTCTCTTGAAAATGAAATTACTGTGACTGAACTGCACAGGGAATTAATAAAACTCTAGTATTTCTTAATATCTCTGAATTCACAGAAATAGCTAATTTTAATCTACCTTTTCCATGGCATCAGGGGAATATCTATCACACACCTGGCTCTAAATGTTTATGGCTGAGATGAGCAATTCCCTCCTAGTTTACTCTGACCTGGAAAGCATCTCCTTAGGGCTCTCTTCCAGCAGAAGCAGGCTTAGCACTGGACTGCACACCTATGGGTTTCACCAGCTCTCCAGACTGCACACAATACATAGGCCATGTGTCCTGACTTTACTGTCTGCTCCTAAGGTACAAGAGAGGACCAACAGGGCTGCTGAGACTCACCTCTTCATAACCCTAAAACTGCAGTGCCAAGAAGATGCTCTGTCTCCTGGCGTTTGTTCAGAAGAATATGAGACCACAGGCAAAGGATAAGATAACTGCATCAACATCTTCCATCCTTCTTGAAGATGACCTTAAAAAGAAATCTCTATTTTTAGAGCCACTCTACCCCCAAAGGCCAGGGTTCCTCTCTAGTTCCTCTTGTTGGTCTGTCAGTCCATCTGGAGGGAAACTACATTGCTCCAGTGCTTAAAATACAACAGAAAACACAACATAGTTCAGCAACTGCTAAGGAAGAAATACACTTTTACTTGGGTTTTGGATTCTGTTAAAAAATAAAATCACCACAATCAACTCTTTCAAGGCACCTGGAAATGCCTTGTGCAAATTCTCCAGTTTGGACTCACTCTTATTGTCTGTGCCACATTTCTAAGAAAACTGCTTTTTCCACAACACCCTGAAGTTATCAGAAGGTCACATAAAACTGTAACCGACTACAAGAAGCATATGGAAGAAAAGATCCAATAGCAGGTTCTTTAGTTCCTAAGTTTGTGAGAAAACAAGTAACAGCTTATTCTTAGAATGTCTTGAAATTATTTGAAGCTGGGCTGGAAGAGGATAGGTGACTTCTTATGCACTTTTCTGTTAAAGCACATTGCAAAACAGCTAGTGAATAAATGAAAGAATTTTTAACATGCCTTATTTAAAAAACAAAATTTACAGAAAGCTTTCATCTGGAAACAAGACCTATTCAGATTAACCTACTCAGTCAAATATTGGGCTTGCAGCCAATTTCAGGAATATTCATGGACAAGCCAAGTCCCTGAAGTCAGCCAGAGTGTCCAAGAACACCTGAAATGCCTGTGGCTTTAGAAATCATCTTGGAAAGAATCACCACTTGTAAGTATTTAAGCATGTAAAATCAGCAGAATAATGTAGTTCTGGCAATAACTGGCATTTTTGTGCCAGCCCAGCTGTAAAACTGGGCGATTGTGTTCAACCAGGAACTGCAGCTCACAAGGCGGCGGCATGACTGCAGGGCCACAGACAAAGGCTGTTTACAAGCTGGGAAACAACCTGAAGTAAGGTCCTTTATTAGAAATTATAGATATGATCCCATGTTCTCAGCAGGGGATCTAGAAGGAAGGGCTTAAAGGAAAGGAACTTACCTATGCAACAGAGAGAGAGCTGGACATTTAAAGATGATCAGCCCCACAGACAGGAGGTCAGTGTTTGCTGAAGCAGGACTCGTGTTCTTCAAAGCAGCTGCAGATGCCTTTATGTGAAACTGCAGAACGAGCTGCAAAAAATTCACTTCTGCTTGAGGACACCCAAATTACTTCACAAGGTCTGAGTGTCCCTATGGATCATTTTTTGCGAGGCATGGATGTTTTTGCTTTATACCACTGTGTGTGGGTATTCTTGGGATACACAGCAAAAGATGCAACACATAAACATTGGATACTTAGACTCTGAAACAGCAAAGTGAAAGTCACTTATGCTCGAGAAAATATAATTATAGTAGAAGTAGAGGGAAATTTTACAGAGACACAAACATCCTTCACTAAAAATCTGGAGAAATGCATAAGCATTAAATCTCCCCAAAGACATGAAATAGGCATTTTTGTTAATCTGGACTATTAAAAATTGCCGGTGTCTCAATCTATTCTTGAAAATAACTGATCTTGTTTATAGTCCTAATAAGCATTCTGCACATAAAGTCATCCCACTTCCATCAGCACCTTTTTAAATTTTAATTTACTCATCTCTAAAAAATCTACATCTAGTCTAATCATAAAAAATTATTTTCAACCTATTTCTGGGCCACATAGAAATAATGCTTTTATGAATGGAATTTCCATGCTTGAGCTACTCAAAAACATTTTCATGCAACAGCATCTTTTAATGAGTAATTTTGATGTAGGTAATGTCCCCTCTTCTCTTAGCCAACACCATCTGTTAGTTTATACTCTGGAGGCTCAAGCAAGAGGCATGCACTGATGTATTCTGTCATTAATGCTGGGGCAACAGGCTGAGATCATCCAGGTTTTCAGAAGGAAGCTACTGGGTAACAAAGAACTATCAGAGGACTCTGAGATACCTGGCCAGAAGACAGGGGGCATGGTTCTCTGTGGGACTTGAATCTGTGAGTGGCTAGGCGTAATGTTCTTGAAAAAATTACTGCTGTGTTTGGGGGTTTTTACTTTATGTTATTCAAACTATGCAGACAGGTGGTCCCGTGGATAACAGGGGGTATGATGCCCAGGAAGGTATAAAGATAGTTACTTATATTGTAAACTTGTAGCTGTAGTGCTACATCTCTGTGAGCAACTGGCAACTAACTGTGTTGGGGGTTAGAAATAACATGATTCGAGAAATAGGAGGAGTGCATTTGTCAGAGTCACTGGTTAATTATTCAGGAGCCTGATTATCATACATGTCACTAAAAGCTTCCCTCTCCTATGACTGGCCACTAATAATTCCCCCAGCAGACTCCCATGGAAGCATTACTATTCCCCCATGGAGCAGGGGAACTGCCCTACTTTGGCCCTTGGCTTTAACCTGTGTTGCTGCCCTCTTCGAAATGGCACACTGAAATTTTTGTCATGTGTTGTTTCAAGTCCCATCAATTTGCCAGCTTCTTTAAGAGCAGTGAGAGAACTAAAGGATTGATAAAAACTATACCTACTCACCCTTTGCCACAGTGCACCAGGGCAGGGGTTTGCAATTATTCTTGATGCTCAGATTTGAGACTGCTTGCTTGTAAAAAAGCAGCTGGGAGGCAAAGGCAATATTAAGGAAGGTAGAAACCCTCTTTGTTTTACAATTAATTAACTAATCTGTAAAAATCTTCCAATGGACATGATGTTCAGTGATAACAAAGTGAATACAATTTGTTGAGAGGATTAATTTTGCATAGCTGCATACTCTGAGGCTCATACTGAACACACTCAAACCTCACGAGAAAGACATGACCATCAGCATGGGGACCTACAATAGCAGCCTGGTATTGCATTAAGAAGCAGAGAAGTAATAGTCAGGAGACTTTCAAGGACAGATATTAACTTGATAATTTGATATATGAACCCTATCTGTATTAACAGTAAAAGAGAATGTGTTCTCTGCTATTATCAGTGGATTGACAGAAAAGAATAAATTAGAAATTGATAATTATGTCAATGTAACAAATATGTTTGCACATTTGAAAACCTGAGGCACTAGAAAATGCTGTTGAACCAATTAAATGTTCCAGAGATTAAAGCATGCTTATCTGGAGTGTACTTTTCACAGCAGTTTTTACCGGGTTCAAGTTTACTTTGCTCTTAACCAGGCAATCCACCAGCTGCAGCAGCAGCCATGCAATAACAAACATCCTTCAGCAGCAATTTGTCTCACTACCAGCTATAAATGACTCAGCTGTTCATATTAGGCTCCAGGAGTCATTTTGCTAATATTACAGACTTTTACCATAGAACACACCATCCCCTCCCTCTATAGTAGAGACTGGGGATTTTTTATCTGTTTGAGGTTTTTTTGTTACTCATATCTTCCTCCTGAAACAGAATACATTTGTGTTGGTCACCGAGGAGACCAGCTTTCACCTCCCATCAGCCACTGGCAGGACAACTTAAAAATAAATTTGTGCCAGGTCATGTGTTTTTAAAAAAGGGTGTGAAGGTGAAACGAAACTTCAAATGCAAAGGAACTTTGAGCAAGTAAAAACATTAGAACAGCTCAATTAAAATTGAAATTAACACAATGCATTATTACTTTCACATAAAATTTTCTGTTCAAGTTTCTATTCAATAAACAGCTGCTACCAGAACATACATTTAAAAAAAAAAAAAAAAAGAAAAGCTAGTCTTGCTGATACTTCTAAAGTGTAGAACTTGAAACTTGAAACAAGCAATACGAACAGGAATAAAGTTAAAATTTTTATACTCTTGATAGCTGTATCAGAAAAGCTCAGCTTCCGGCAGCAAGCAATCAAAAGAATGAATTACTGCTTTTTTTCCTTTTAAGTTTTAATTTGGGGCCAGCAGCTTGCGGGAAGCAGTAGGGTTAAAGGGATCATTATCTATTTTCCCCTATGGTCAGAACCATGACTCTTCATAATTGATGGTACTGCATGCAGTACCAAAAACTCCTTCAAAACTCAAAGATTATAATCCTGGATTGGAACAATTTCAAGGAGATGAGAGAACCAAAGGAGCAAGAGGTAGGACATAAGAAAATAATAAGCAGTAACCTTCTATACACATAGAGTAAGAAGACCAGAAAAGCCCAAAAATTCAAAAAGTGATGCATTTGTGGACAATCAGCAAGGGATCTCACAGGGATCTGTGCTCTTCACTGTTCTGTGGGAAGCTCTGATATCTGTACCAGATTTCCCATGAGCTTCATGGTGAGGTTCCCAATCCTACCTACACTGTGATCACTCACAGGTGTCAACTAGAGAAAACATCCCTTCAAGAAGTGTGCTCCCCTGGAAGAACACTCTGGGTGCATACCACAAAGTCATGCAAATTTATATTGGCATGTAGATTTGGTGTTTTCTTAGGTCTCTGCAATGTTCCAAATGACAGCAGCAACCCATGCTGAAACTGAATTAGAAACCTATCACATTCTCACTCACCTGTTTGTTCAATTGAGCTGAAAGATATTTTGACATTTTAACAGGAACAGCACAGGCAGAAACAAAAAACTTCCAGAGTATTACTTTGATGACACAGCAATAGAAAGAGACTGCTGCATTTGTTAGTAGAATGGCACTTAAAGCAGTAACGGAGTAGTGAAGCAGTATGATCTTCTAGCAGCTGGTGATCCTACAGGAAAACACTGCAATCCAGACAATGATTTGTGTGCCTTGGATCCTATTTCAGAGCAGGGCTCTCCAGACAGTTTTAAGTTGTTCACTGAATAGTCCCGTGAAACCAACCCAAAGCAATTAAACAGGGGATGAAAACATGAAGCAGACCCTGCATAGTTTCATGCAGAGCTCTTATGTGGGTGCATAACAACAGCCCTTCCAGGAGCAGTGATCCATCACAATGCACATACACTGCTCCCTGCACCATGGCTGGGGAGCCCACGTGGCAGCAGTACGCCCAAGTGAATTAATTGGCCTGTGTAAAAGGACATTATTAAGCCTGCTCTTCATTTCTAACAGACCAGCCCAGGACAGGGCTGGCTGCTGTGCTTCCACAAGGACAGCAACAACCTGTGGGACTCCACAGAATATTCTGAGCTTACCACAGAGCTATGGTAAGAATTTTAAAATCTGCAAAAAGAGTGTCAAAGCTACTGGAACTCTACCAAACTTTTTCAGGTGATTGTAAACTACGTGTGTGAAGTCTGACAGTAGAATTGCAAAACATAACAGGACTAAACAGCTAAAAGAATCTCCAGTATTAGAGGCTGGGTTGGCAAACAGTGAAATAGCACTGCAACATTTCATTTTGATACTTCAAGTTTAGCATAATAGGAAAGCTTATGATAATCCAGATAATAATGTGAGTCTTGTAGATTTGTTACTTGATAGGTAATGAGCAGCAGCATATACACATAAATCCCTGCCTTGCTGAGGTTGGCATTATAGAAGTAACATCCTAAAGCATCCAGTCTGTTGCGCTGGAGAAATACAAAAATTAATTATCTTCTCAAAATCTAACCTTTTTATGGTGGTCATGTGAGAACTCAGAGCAGAAGCACATCAAATAGGTTGCAAAATCTCAAAAATTTAAATTCAGATAAGAAATAAAATGGCACCAATGCTAAGCTCCTGTTCAGCTTACTGGTATTGTTAAAAATGGGGTTTAACCTCTAATTTTCACTAAACATGAAGTTCCCTTCCAAACTTCCAGACAATTACAACCAGCAAGGCTACAATTTTAAGTAAAACAGATAAATGCAGAACAGTGAGCAATCATATGGAAACAAAACACTTGGTTACATAAACAATCACAAAACTGAAGCAAACCTAGCAGTCTGGGCTGGCCTCTGTGTTTCTCTACACTCCCAACTGTAATGCTGTATATTTTAAGGACAACATACATATTGAACAAAGGAAAACAAAATTCCCTAAAAAACTCCACAGCATTTATACAGATTGATTGATAGCTCTCTATACGTATATTTAATTTTTTTTTTTTAGCATCACCTTCTTCTGTGGTGATTTCTGCAGACAGAAGGTCACTATGGAAGAAATTTATTCATTTTGTAAACTTCACACTATCCCACTAAACTGCAGATATTATTTTTAGTTCTCCCTAGCACTAAGCAGACAGGGAATCCAAGGCACAGTGCCAGGATGTAAACCCACTCCTTCAGAGCTGGCTTTAATCATGTTGCCTTACTCCTACTCGACTCCCATGTTTAGGTCAGCAAATTTTCTCAAGGCTAAATCTGAATATATGCACACATATGCCATGGATAATCTGGGTGTGTTTCTTCATGAATAATTTAAATAGAAGTATGGTGTGTTACTCCTACTGAAAGGCTCACTTGATTTTCTTTTGGCAGGGCTCACCCAAAAAACTGTTGCTGAAGAAAAGCCAATATCTTGTGTCTATTTATAATGTAGTTGGTTTACAAAAAAAGTGTATCCTCTTTACAAGTTATTTTTTGTACTGCTAACGTTTGCAGTCATGCTGCACAGACAATTGAGGCCCTCAGTGAGTACAACCATAAAGTCAGGCAGAAGTATTGTCTACAAAAGGGATACTTGTTTTAAATTGTTCTCCATAAAAAAAAAAAAAAAAATCTT